GACAGACACAGAACAACCCCCACATGCACTTGTCTCTCCACACTGATGACAGCCACCCACACGACCCCTGGGGACACCCCGTGTCCAGCAGCGCCGAAGGAGCAGCGCCCCGGGGAGTCGAGGGAGGACTGAGAACCCAGAGGAGGCACCGCCAGCTCAGACACTGGCGCACAGGGAGGAGGTGCCTGGGACGGGCTGACGCTCTTGCGGCGCCGAGACCATCGCAGCGCGGGGAGGACACGCGGGTCACGGGGGCGCGAGGGGTGGATGGTCCCGCCGAGGACCCGGGATGGCCCGTCCCCCCGCGGAGCGCCCCGCGTCAGCGAGAGCCCCCAAGCGCGAAGGTGCCAGGGCCGCCTCTGCCCGGGCGGGTGCAGGTTCCCACCACCCCACCACGCCGCCGCCCGTGGCTTCTTGTCACCTCGTTTCCTCCTCGGGCCTCGCAGGCCGCTGTTGCAAGAATCCCCCGAGCACCTTGAGGACGTTTGCGCCCGATGGAGAAATCCACCCGCCAAGGGCCGCCTCCTGGCACCACCGGGTCTGGGCCACCTCTGCACCCCGACTCCACCCGGCCCCGGGAACCTCCCCCAGTGAATTCGGGACTCAGGCCCCGGGAGGCAGCGGCTCTGGCTTCCCCGATGGAGTCCCTGGAGGGCCATGAGTCGCTAGAGCCAGCACAGGGCTCCCAGCAGATGGAAAACATTCCCGGGTTACTCAGCAGTGACCGCGGCAAGCGCTGGGGGCCTTTTCACAGACTTCACGTGTCCTTCACACTGTTTCCGCAGCTCACCCTGAAAGGCCCCCAAGCAGGGTGCCCAGAGTCACAGCTAGACGGCACCCCGAGCGGTGTCCACATCCTCCACCCCAGGTCTCCGCAGGAGGACGGCCCCGATCACTCTCTCCTCAGGAAGAAGAGTCCACACTTCACCTCACCTTGGCCGACATGTCGGTCACTGCAGCCAAGCCCACGAGAGTCTCATGACACGAGCTGGAAACAACGCCGCCTCTCCCGGCCCGAGACTGCTTGATGTTCTTCCCTACTCATGAGAAGGGATGCTCCTCCTGGCCTGCTCTCGGGATGTATTTCCTGTCTCTCGGGATGTTCCACATAATCTTACACACATCCAAGTTTTTACAGATGTGTTTCATGAATCTACACATATTTATTATTAGTATTCTTCAAAATGATATCACAAGTCAGATTAATTTATAACTAAGGATTTGATAAGGTAACTCTAGCTCAATTATGTGGCTTTCCAAAATACTCATTTAACGAATATATAAGATTTATTTATTTATGCAGACAAGAGCTGGGATACAGGCCGTAGATGCCGGGGTTGAGAGGATTCACCAGAGACAGCAGGGAACAGAGCAGGCTGACTGACAAAATACACTGCTGAGGGGCGCAGCAGACCAGTCAGGAGAGGTCTGAGGCACATGTCAGTCAGCTCCCTGGCCGGCTGGGGATCCAACTTGTGCACACTGGCTGGCAGTAGTTTGAGAGCACAGTGTTTAACCCCTGGGCCACCAGGGAGGCCCCTTACCTTTAGTTTGAGGTCAGAAGTGTGACTCCTTCATTTCCCCCCACTTTTAATCAGGGAAGCTTTGGTTATTTGGGGTCTTTTGTGTTTCCATATGTACCTCAGTAATCTTTGTAATCTTCATTCCTCTGAAGAATGCCATCAGGATATTTATTGGGATTGCAGTGAATCTAGAAGGGACTTTGGGCCGGATGGCCCTTTGGACAATGTTGATTCTTCCACCCCATGAGCTGGGTCTCTCTTTCCAATTCTCTATGTTTTCTATTATTTTTTTCCACAATGTTTGATAGTTTTCCTTGTAAAATCTTTCACCTCCTCTGCTAAGTTTATTCCCAGTTAATTTTTTGCATGTGCAATTGTAGATGGCATGACTTTGTTAATTTCCTCTTCCAGTTCATTATTTGTACTTTGGAAGGCATATGTTTTTCAATGCAGAGTTTGGTGACATTACATACACTCACTCTGTCATTTAACTCTCATTTCTGAAACCAGGGTGTCCCCGGAGGCTTACATACATCCCCAAAATAGACCTGCGTTCCTTCTGCTCATTACTTTACTGTTAACAAAGTCAAACTATTCTTTGTCTTCTAGCCTGGCTACATTACCAAGATGAACATGTTCTTCCCGAGCAGTTCTGCTTCTCCAGAGAAAGAGAACCTCACAGCCCAAGAGAAGCCATCCACCTTGGTATCTTATGGGTACACTCCCTTTCATCCAGGGGATGAACTTAGGGGTGGGGGAGACCAAGGGAGATGGCACAAACCTGCAAGTAGCACACACCTCTTGTCCCCATATCCAAAGGATAAGCGCCCCACACAAGAATGGACCCATAGCCTCCCTGCTCCGTAAGTCTCAGAGCGCGAAGCTGTCCACAGCCACCGCAGCAAGAGCTCCATCCCCAGCCAGGGAGCTGACCCACAGGGCACAGCACCTCTCCTGTCTCCCCGCGGCTCCCCTCAGCAGTGGATTTCAATGGATCTGCCTGTTCTGCTCCCCACTCTCTGGGGAGTGCTCCCCTGCCCCGGTCCACTCCCTGTCCCTGGAGCTCAGGGTTCCTGTACTGTCCTCACAGCTGGAGTGTGGGCAGTGTCTCTGGGCTATGCTGATCCTGCACATACTGACCCCGGGATGTGACTGAGCTGGGCAAGGTCCCACGGATCACGGTGGAGGCCTCTCCTGGGCATCTGCCGACAGCATCACCACCCACCTGGGCCGCCCACCCATCCTCAGAGGCCTCACCCGCCACACCCCTGGCCGCCCCAACACACCTGCAGGGGGACATGACACGAGGCCCTGAACCCCTCACCTTCAAAGCAGAGAGTGACCCTTGCTGCAACAGCCCACATGGGTCACATCACAGCAACAGACACTTCCAGGGAACGTGGCACTAGCAGAGGAGCGTTGTCTTAGCAAACCCTGCAGGCCTCTTTGGACCAGGTCTGAGGTGAAGGCTGAGGGGCCCGATGCCATCTTTAATGGGTGCTCAAGGACACCTAGGAGCCTGCAGCATCGTGGAAAGCGGCCTGCGGCCTGGGGGTGAAAACCTCAGGAACCTCCCATGGCGCGTTGAGGAATATGGCCCGTGGCCCCGACACTACAGGTGGAGTTTGAAGGGACCAATGTACCTCCCCCTGAATCAGGGAAGATACTCTCAGGGGACAGACACTCCGTCAGTCACCGACTTGGAAACACAGGACAGGGGCTCTGGCTGTAGAGATGTTCCTGATGAAGGAAGCTGCATAGAGGGCGCAGGCAGGGAGGAGCAGGCACCCAAGTCCAAAATCCATGATCAGGGAAACAATCCCCGATGGACGGGCCCGAGCCCAGCCCTGCGGAGGGGACACCGCGGAGGCGACACAGGGCACGACTGCAAACCCACAGACCGAGGCTAGGTGTGGACATGCAGGCGAGTAACGGGGGCAAACTCAGTGCGCCTCGGAGCCTCGGGAGAGCCCTCAGGCCAAGTCCCTCATCAAGAGACACGCCACAGAGACCCCCACGACCAGCACCCGTTCCCTTCCTGCCACAGCCATGGGAGCCCCTGCTTCTCGGCCCCAGCGGCCACCCCTTGGGACCGTTCTGCTCAGGGAGCTTTCTTGTCCTTACTCCTGTGAGTAAATGTCTGGCTCTTCTGGAACTCTGGGCTCCACTCGGAACTATTTTCACACAAAATAGAAGAAACGAAGAAGAGCACATCCGAGGCCTCGGACTCCGGGTCTGCTACACAAACTCTCCGCTCGGCATCACCACGGCGCCAAAGAAACACACCAGAAGGTGCTCAGGGCCGCTGGGGGAAGGGGGTAGCAGAGTGACATCAAGGACTTCCTCGGCCACCACCTTCCACGCCGACCACTCACCCCAAGCTATGAACTGACTCAGACAAAGACCACATTCAGGGCACAGCCAGCAACGGCGGAAGGGATTATGTTCAGAACAAAGACAAAAGGAAAAAGAACTGTATTACATTGATCACCTCCAGGAGGAATACAGGGAAATGAAGAAAGTGTCGGGGAAAAAGACAAAACTAGCAGACAGATGACAGCTGAGATGCCAGCAGGGGATGGGGCAGAAGAGGGCCCAAGATGGGAGGGAGGAGTACCAGGGCCTGGGGTGACGGGTCACAGGGACGGTGGGGACAGGACATTTGCAAGAATTGTACAGAAGGGGAGCAATCCAATATTGCCCAAAGATGAACATCAATTTAATAAAAAAAAAAAAATAAAAGGCAAGAATCCTTTCCTTTAAAAATAATATAGGGGCCTCTGGTGGTGCAGGGGTGAAAGTCTCAGCACTATGAAGCTGTTCTCAGTACTGCAGACACAAATTCGATCCCTGGCAAGGGAGGTGACCCACATGGCACAGTAGAACTCTCCTGTCTCCCCACTGACCCCTCAGCAGTGGATTTCAGTAGATCCGCCTGTTGTGCTCCCCACTCTCTTTGTGGAGAATCCTCTCACCCCCTCATACCTCTGGCTAGCACCCCAGTTCTTATATGCAGAAGTAATCTTCCAAAAAAATTCCTTCATTTTGTAGAACTGGGGTGTAGGCCAGAGATTCGGGGTGAGAGGATTCACCAGATACTGAGTGTGGCGACAAACAGGCAGAACCACTGAAATACCTGGCTAATTGGAGTAGCGGGTGACACAGGAGAGGCCTGCTGCGGCCTCTAGCATATGTGGGGTGGTTCCCTAGCTGGGGCTGAAACCCTGGCCAGAGCAGGCAATAGCGCTGAGACTTAACCCGAGGCCACCAGGGAGGCCCCGAGAAACCTTCATCATGAAAGGTAGGTAAACACATCTGCAGACCTCAACTTACAGCCAATAGCACACAGTTCAAGGTTTCCTTCTAGAGAAGGACATTTTTTTGGTGAGCAATCCCAGCATCAGGGGGCACCACAGAGACTTAGAGTACTGGATAGAACGTGACGACTAAGTTAGAAAACCCAGAGAGATCACTTACCCACGCAACATGCAATGTGCCATGTAGACAGACAGCTACCGTGGACATGAATAGCATCGCCCAGGAACTTAAGAGGATACTAGAAGCAACAGCAACAGGAACATCATCACTGCATGAACTTGGGAGAAGAGTGAACCAGGTAACTCCACGCAATTAGGAGTGAAACTGTATGTCAGTTCCCATTGCTCTCAACTGAATGATGTGGTTTGAGCTCCTAAGTTTGAATATTTTTTTAAAGATTTTATTTATTCAAGCATACCAGAATCAGGGTACAGGCCAGATGTGTGGGAGGGTGAGAGGATGCACCAGAGACAGAGCGGGGAACAGAACAGGCAGACTGACCGAAATTCACTGCTGAAATACACGCAGCGGGCCAGACGGGAGAGGTCTGCCGCACCATGGGGTTGCTCCTGGCCGGCCAGGGAATCAAACTCCCACCGCAAAGGCCACGGACAGCTTCACAGTGCTGCGCACAACCACCTGCACCACCAGGGGAGGCCTGCCTGTCCACTCTTGACATTCACAGCATTTCCATCCAGTGTGGATTTTGTCATGCCTAGTGAAGGCTGACTTCCTTAAAAGTTTTCCCACATTCTTCACAATCATAGGGATTTTGTCCAGTGACATCTCTGATGTCCAGTGAGAGTGTTCTTACTGGAAAAAATTTTCCCACACTCTTGACACTCATAAGGCTTCTCTCTAGTGTGACTTCTTTGATGTATACTGAGGGATGTTTTCTGGCAGAAAGTCTTCCCACACTCTTGACACTCATAGGGTTTCTCTGTAGTGTGACTTCTCTGATGTCTAATGAGGTTTGACTTACTGGAAAAAGCTTTCCCACACCCTTCACATTCATAGGGTTTCTCTCCAGTGTGAATTCTCTGATGTCTAATGAGGTGTGCCTTACTAGAAAAAGCTTTCCCACACCCTTCACAATCATAGGGTTTCTCTCCAGTGTGAATTCTCTGATGCTCCTTGAGTGAAGACTTACTGGAAAAAGCTTTCCCACACCCTTCACAATCATAGGGTTTCTCTCCAGTGTGACTTCTCTGGTGGTAACTGAGGGATGATTTCCAGGGGAATGTCTTCCCACACTCTTGACATTCATAAGGCTTCTCTCCAGTGTGAATTCTCTGATGCTCCCTGAGGTAAGACTTACTGGAAAAAGCTTTCCCACACCCTTCACATTCATAGGGTTTCTCTTCAGTGTGACTTCTATGATGTTGACTGAGGAATGACTTTCTAGAAAAAGCTTTCCCACACTCTTCACAATCATTGGGTTTCTCTCCAGTGTGAGTCCTCTTATGTAGAACAAGAACTAACTTACAGGAGAACACTTTCCTACATGCTTGACATTCATAGTGTTTCTCTCTAGTGTGACTTCTCTGATGGTGAATGAGGGACGATCTGCAGGAGAAAATTCTCCTACACTCTTCACATTCATAAGGCTTCTCTCCAGTGTGAATTCTCTGATGCTCATTGAGGTAAGACTTACTGGAAAAAGCTTTCCCACACCCTTCACATTTATAGGGTTTCTCGCCTGTGTGACGTCTCTGATGGTGAGGGAGGGATGATTTCCAGGGGAACGTCTTCGTATGCTCTTGACATTCATAGGGATTCTCTCCAGTGTGAATTCTCTGATGCTCAGTAAGGTGAGACTTCCTGGAAAAAGCTTTCCCACACCCTTCACATTCATAGCATTTCTCTCCAGTGTGAGTCCTCTCATGTAGAACAAGAACTGACTTACAGGAGAACACTTTCCTGCACGCCTGACATTCATAGGGTTTCTCCCTTGTATGAGTTCTCCGATGGACACTAAAAGTAGTTTTCCACCTGAAAGTTTTCTTACATATCTGACACGGGTAGCGCTTCACTCCCGTTTGAGATTGTGGATGTAAAGTGAGGGCAGTCTTCCATGAGTAAGTTTTCACATAATCGTTAGAGCCAAACAACTTCACTGCAGTGAGATTTCTCTGGTATCCCCTCTGTAAGGAAATCTCAGAGGTGCCCCCACAGTCATCAGGTTGATCATCTGCTTGTGTTTTCTGATGTTCAGTCAGAACAGAGGTTTTAGAGGCCGCTTCACCGTATCTCTTATATCCAAAATTATTCTGTCCCAACTGGGTACTCTCACGCGGATAGGTGTGAAATGTGTTGCTGAGACTGGCCCCACTTTCATAAAATTCCTGATGCTCATGTTCAACATACCTAGGAGGATTCAAATGCACTGGAGTCATCTCCGCAGCTCTCCCCTTTTCATTACAACTGCAGCGAGTCTGTTCTCCTTGGGTTCTGTCTCGGACAACGAAAGGTACCTCATCATGGGTGTCCCTGCACTCATTGCATTTACAGGCAGCCCTTCTGGAAGGGCTCCTCTAGGTGTAAATATTGTTTCTTCACTCACAACTTTTCCTTGTTCACTAAATTCAAAAGGCTGTTGAAAGTTCTGAATCACCTGGTGACTAACGTGCTCAGGATACTTGATGGGTTCCCTCATTCTACTAAAGACCTCCTCGTTCTCTCCAGCATGCTCTGCATGAGGCTCACCAGGGATCATCATGGTCCTATGTATAGTAAAGTTCTCAGGCATCATCGCTGAATTGTTTTCATTTTGATACTATGGTTCAAACAATGAATTGAGTCCAAATTGCTTTTTTCCATTAAGTCAGCTCTCTCGTTGGATGGTATTTGCTGCTGGCGGTAAGAACTTGCCACACATGTCTGTCCTGATTTGCAGGGCTGTCCTGAGTCAGGTGATCCACAGTATGGACATCTAAAATGAGATAAAAATGACCATGTCTCTAAAAAGGAAGCATTTTGAGTGAATACTACTAAGTGGCACAAAAGCTCCTGTATTTCAACACAATTTACAGGTATTGTTTTCTGATTCATGCTTTTTGCCCATAGCAAATTATGGGGAGAATAGATTTTTGGTATTTTTTTTTATTTTAGCATAGAAGATCTGGGGTGTAGTCCAGAAGTGCAGGAGTGGGGGTGCTATAGGGGAGCATGGAGACAGTGTTTTGAACAGAACAGGCGGACTGACTGAAATACACTGTTGAGGGGAGCAGCGGGTGAGACAGGAGAGGTCTGTTGTGCCAAAGTGGGTGAGCTCCTTCACTGTGGATCAAACTCAGGCCATAATAGTGAGAGTTAAGAGACTTAATCCCTAGGCCTCCAGGAGGCCCCAATTATCAGATTTTCTAATGCCAAACAGGATAACAAAGCAGTAAAACTAATTTCATATATGGCTTTATAAATCATAAATATTTGGTGAAAATAGTCCTTTAACTAGAGTTGTCGATTTCAACCAGAAGCATTCCACCCAAATAGATCCTACACCTTCTTTCTTAGACTGACCCTGCGCAGCTCTTGAGGGTACTTTCTGAATAACCAAGCCCTGCAGAGGCCATGGCTTTCCCGAAACCTGTGCACTGAGTGGCCCAGTC